AAAAAAAAAAAAAAAAAAAAAAAAAAAAAAGCGCACTTAAAAAGTTTCAAAAACTTAATTTTTTTAAACTGAAGCTTTAGCAAGTTGAATTTTTTTTTTTAATATTTATAAACAGCGTTAAATGCGTTGTTTGTGCCATTTAACTAAAATTCAAACTTCTTGCTGACTTTTGACTAAAAGGAGAAAAAACAGGTATTTGCAAAAAAGTTGCCTGCAAGGCAGATGAATTAAAAACATTTTTGTTTTGTTTGTTTTCTTCAAACCAACCACCCTGAAAGTTTCCACATTTGGAATATAGATACAACAGTGAACAAAAATGTGGCCTTCCATGTACATTTGATACCTATGTACAAGTATTCTATACACCAGTAAAACAGCAGGGCAATTAGTTAATTAAAAAAAATAATTAGTACATGTTATGCATAATAAAATTAAAGAATTTTTTTTTTTTTTTTTTTTTTTTAGCAGTTTAGCAACCATAAAACCTTTTCTAACTGTATACTGGAATATTGTCGGTTGCTGGTTGTAGATGCCGGATGGCCAGTGAGTTCCTCCCCAGTTTGCTGCCTCAGATGATCCCATTTGGTGGCCCACAGATGGGCCCTAGGTCCACCCCGTTCTTCATGTAGTACTTCTCCAGCTTGGCCAAGATGTGTTTGCCATAGGTGTATTTACGCAGAGTAGCGATGTGAGGCCGGATCTAGGAGAGAAGAGAAGCACCAGTGAGGCCCGAGAACCCAAATTATGGCTCCAGGTACCCTACGGTCAGGGTGCTGGCCACCAGCAGGGCACCACAGACCACAAAAATACCTGAAATATTAAAGTGCCATCGACTGTAATCACAGCAATTACTGTGCATCATGTTAATGTTCTGAAACTCGCTGATGTTATTTTTTGGAAGAACTTCTGGTCAAGCAGGTGGCACCATCCTGAACTACGCTACTGAAATCCACTTGGATCCGAGCGTGCGGGTGCAGACAAGGCTCTGTCCCAAGGGAGGAGGTTGGACAGACACAGCCCCTGGTGCTCAGTGTCCTGAGGGTGCCCTGACACCCTGCCCCAGCCCGCGGGCAAACGTCCTACCACAGAAAAGGCAGCGGAAGGGTCTAGTGGAGCTGAGCAGCTTTTGCTGAAGACAAGCAGGGTCTTCTGCCTCCTTCCAGGCTAGACTCAACTTCAAAACTGCTAAAAGCCTGAAAAAGCTGCTGGTTGGATTTTCAGCAGTATATTTGAAAGAGCTACCGGGAGAGACAAACATATTCCTGGGCTGAGCAGCAGTTTAATTTCTGAGCCTGACAATGAAAGTATTTATTTTAAGAAGAGAAGAGGTCTGTGGAAGCAAACTTCACCCGCTCACACTACTTCAGAGTAAAAGTCACTTCCAACACCACAGTAATTAGTGTAGCCAGAGTAAAAGCACTTTTACTGCCAGAGCACCCAAACAAGGAAAACTTTTCCTGGTAGTAACATCATTACGCTGCTGAAGTTCTGCTGGAGAGTTTCAGAGGAACGAGACATAAGAGCAATTCATTTTCGTTACTAGATGAGAAATATCCCACACCACCAGCACGTTCCTTCAATAACACCATTACAATGGACTCCTCTATGAGGGGAAGCTGCAGACAGGATGAGAAAATAGCCAGAACATGATGTACAGCACTCCCTGCTCCTCGAGTGGCCACATCACACCGCTTGCCTGAGCCAGGACTGACCATAAAACTCCATGGGAGATCCATCCCAGACTCATCTTATTTCATCCCTGCAGCCTCTAGCCGTTTAAATTCCTATTTCACTTCAAGGACCCATCTTGTAATAATCATAAATTGATGCCTTGGCCCTCCCCATATCCCGTTTCCAAGAAGGTCTGACTGCTGCTCTGAGGTTAAGGAGAAGTAAAGCTCCTCAGGTCCAACAGTTTGTTCTCTGTTGGTCTCTAAGACTTTTTATTTTTCCACTGACAACTGACTGTTAAACTTACTTTTCAGTATTTTTTTTTAAATAGAAGTGCTGTCTTTAACAATAACACAAACTGCTTACTTGTACTAATAGCAGTTTTCACAATCCAAAAGCAAGAGTCGATACACTCAATTTTCCCAGGCTTTCATTCAGCTTGGTAACGTAGCTGAAAATCTTCATATTCAGTCCTATTTAGCTGTTATCCCAGTTCTATTTTTGACAACCACACTGATAACCTAATTAGCATTTTATTCAAAAGACTGCCTGACAGGAAAAAGAACATGTCAGTAAAGTTGGTTTTGGTTTTTTTTAAATATATCTATATCTATATATATATATATATAGATAGATATATATACACACACACACACACACACACACACACAGAGATCAGCAAAGCTACAGGTCATTCTGTTGCAGTCAAACTGTGTCTATCCCTTGCCATACCTTTTTATTTAATTATCGTTATAATTTCTTCTGGTCTAAGACAGATTGATTTCGAAGAACTACTCCAAATGATTCCTAACCTAAGAATTAACCTCCCTGAAGATTACTTCAGCTGCATGTATGTTGTTTATATACTGATCAACTGCTTTGTGTAGGTAAAAATCAGCTCCCTTACACAGACAATACCCACTCCTTTTTACAGTAAAATCACTTGGTCTACTTTATTCAAGGAGTCTTAAACACACTTGATTTCAGTGGGATTTGAATACCTGACCCTCTCCACAGTTCCTCTTAGAAATAAATAAATATGGGGTTTTCCAAGCCTGTGTTAGTCAGTATTTTATTTCTAATAAGAGGTCTAGCTGTAGCTTGTATTTTTCACAAAGTAACAGACACAAAAACATGTGACTGAGGAAAATAAGCTCAGTTCCACTACACAAAAGTGGTGGGTTTTTTTTTCCCCCACTCATTACAATTATAAAGACCCATAAATGGGACCTTGAAAAGCAGGAAAATGAAGACATCACCTGACTTTCAGAGCTTCCTGTCCTTGGGGCAGCAGGCATATAGCCTTGGGAGGTAGGACTGGCAGCAATGCATGTTTAATTCCAAAATGTCTTCATTTTTGACAAATATTAAGTCCTGAAACCGTTACGCATTCAAACACTGCAGCACAATGCTAGACCGTGGAAGTGTCTCATCAAAACCGTGTTCAAAACTGAGAAACAGAGAATTTGATTAATGGCTCCAGGCTCTGAGGCTACAGCAACACGTTACGGGGTGTTACCAGCACCCTGAGGGTCCTGGCCCGGGTGGTAAAGCGGGGAGGGGAAGCGCTGGCAGCCCCCCTAAACACCCCCTAGCAGCTCCACGCTGGCGGCATGGGGAGGTCTGGCTCAGCTCCACTGAGTGCAGAAAAGTGCTCTCGTCAGCAAACGCTGTTCTCAGGGAGGGCAAGAGTGTCGTCATGGCCAGACCTTCAGAGGCCCCTCACAAGGCACCAACCCGACGGCGCTGCTGCAGGACACCTCGACGGCTTTTAGAAGCATTTGCTACGCCCTGAGTGCGGAACTGGGTTACTAGGTCGGAAGAGACTGCTAGAAGCAACCAGCTAGAGTTAAGTCCAAATGGCATCTCGTTATTGTACATTTTGATATTTCAGCTACCACCAAAATACACAACTTTGAAATACCCGCATTGTTAGGGAATTCTAATGGTAAAATCAATCATCTCAGCCTTAGAATCACAGAATCATCGAGGTTGGAAACGCCCTTGAAGCTCCTCCAGCCCAACCATGACCCTCACCCTGACCCTTCCCAACTCCCCCAGATCCCTCAGCGCTGGCTCAGCCCGACTCTTCAACCCCTCCAGGGATCCCGGGGACTCTCCCCTGCCCTGGGCAGCCCATTCCAACGCCCAACAGCCCCTTCTGCACAGAAATCCTTCCTCAGAGCCAGCCTGACCCTGCCCTGGGCAGCTTGAGGCCATTCCCTCGGGGCCTGGCGCTGGCTCCTTGGCTCCAGAGACTCATCCCCCCTCTCTGCCCCCTCCTGGCAGGGAGTTGCCGAGGGCCAGGAGGTCTCCCCTCAGCCTCCTCTTCTCCAGACTGAAC